GAAAGAAAATCACAGTAATGTGAGTGAGGCTCTGCCTTCCCCATAGGAATAAAAATTTCTCCCCAGTGGGGAAAAGAGGATGAGAGACACTTGGAAGGAGTGGAGAGTCAATACATTACAATTGTTAAACAACTGGTTGAACGCTCAGTAAGTCACAGGTCACATTTTCAAGCAGTCCTGTGGGTGGGGAAAGCACTGCTCTAATCATTATTCCCTTGCATGCGAGTTCACATTTTCTCAGCGAAAGCCACAGGATTAATAAATCTCTGCATTTAGAGTGCTCACAGAGCATTTCAGAAACACTGAGGTTTTATTACAGCAGACCTGAAAGACGGCAGTCAGTGTTTTTTTAGCTCTATTGCAAATTGGGATGTGGTGGGCAGTGGGATTATGGTCGTCCTAAGAGCGATGTCTAAAAATCTCACTTCATTTGAACCAGACCAGAGTCCACATGAGTGAGATCCCGTGGTCGGAAATACTCCAAGGGAGTCCAAGATGGATGGAAAGTTTCTTAAAGGTGAAATCCTGAAGGCCCAAATGCAGCCAGTTCCAACAAGAAAGAAAAGTGGGAGGCATCTAAGGAAATGGGAGTGGCTGCGTAAGGATCTTACAGATGAGCTGAGATTAAAGGAGGGCAGGTCTAAGAAATGGAAGAAAGGGGAAATCACAAAGGAGGAGTATACACGAGTAGCCAACAGTTGCAGGGCGAATGTCAGGCAAAATAAAGCTCAGAATGAGCTCAGGTTTGCAAGGCCCTGCCCCCACAGGTATGAAAACTAGAGTCAAATAACGAGCTACAATGTAGAAGTAAGTAATTATATGGACTGTTCCATACACATTTTTTACTATCACTATGGTTATTGCAGTCATACCTCAGGTTACAGATGCTTCAGGTTGTGCGATTTTGGGTTGAGCACCACGCTGAACCCGGAAGTACCGGAACAGGTTACTTCTGGGTTTCAGCGCATGTGCAGAAGCGCTAAATCACACTTTGCGCATGTGCATAAGCACCGAATCGCAGGTCGCGGGTTCCAAATGCTTCGGTTTGCGAACGTGCCTCCCGCATGGATCATGTTCGCAACCTGAACATCCACTGTAATATTTTTCTTCACACGTTTAATGGAAAACATGTGCAGAGGAAGATGCCCAAGATGATAAAAGGTCTGGAAACTAATCCTTATGAGGAATGGTTTGAGGGAGCTGGGCGTGTTTAGCCTGGTTCAGAAGGGACTGAGTGGACTTTCTGGGGGTAATAGCTGCAAAACAGTGTAACAGACTCGCTCAGAACGTGGTCGACCCTCCCTTATTAGACGATTTATGGATGTTCTTCTGTCATTGATTATTTTGTTGAGCTTCCTGCACCACAGGGGGTGGACTGGATTACCCTCAGGATCTCTTCCAACTCGACAATTCTGTGATTCTATGAGCTTTCCAGAGCTAATTCTCTCTCCACCCATAACCGAGAAATGATTGCGGATGCCTCACCATATTAATCAGCCTGAATGAAATATTTTGTTCTGTGTTTGTGGACTAACCCCAGCCAATCTCTTCCTCCTGAATACGCAGAACAGCCTGAATTCTCAACAGACCACCAATGTTTGCATTCCCGGCTGAGTGCCTCATTCTAAAGCTGAGAACTGTTTGGGAAGAGAGAGGAAGAGAGAACTGTTTGGCAAAGGAAGAAGCTCTGCACCCGCCGTGCACCCAGCCAAAGTGTACTTTAAAGTGCTGGCAAGTTCGCATCTTCAGTGGAGCCAATTACTGAGGGAGATGCAGCTTCCAGGCTCCGTCGGGGCCACAAAAGCACACCGGCGATCTCTTCTCTCACATATCCTTAGAACAAATGGCATGCTCGGTGAGGCAACCCACTGGAAAGCTTTCAAGGCAGAACAATGACAGCACCCCAGGTCTCCTGCTTTGTGCCGTTTCCCCAAATGTTGCAGCACAGAGCGCCAGAGACTTTCCTTTCCCTCGCCTGCGAGAAGCTGCCAACCGTGATTTGATGAGCTCTGGTGGTCTTCGGCTTGGCAAGGCAAACAATGTCCCAGCTCTTGGAGTTTTGAAAACAACGGATGCCTCTCTGTCGCAAACGTTCAATGAATATTGCATTGCTCCGGGGACAGTTGCAAAATAAAACAGCCATGCAAACGTGTTTCTGCAGATCGAAGGCGACTCTCCACATTGCAGCTTGGCAGCCCTGTAGGAGCATGGGCCTGTTCTTCACAAGAAACAGGGCCAGTTCTACCATTGGGTAGTTTCTGGGGGCAGAGGCCCCTGGCTGTTCTTCCTGAGCCCCTCCCCAGTCATTCCCCTTCATTGTCACACAGCCTGTATTCGGCCTCTTCATCTGGCGTGATGCCTTAAATTCGTTGGAAGATGCTACCCCATCTACACCCAGCGTGGTGTAGTAGTTAAGGGCGGTAGTCTTGTAATCTGGGGAACCAGGTTTGCGTCACCGCTCCTCCACATGCAGCTGCTGGGTGACCTTGGGCCAGTCACAATTCTTTGAAGTCTCTCAGCCCCACTCACCTCACAGAGTGTTTGTTGTGGGGGAGGAAGGGAAAGGAGAATGTTAGCCGCTTTGAGACTCCTTAAAGGGAGTGAAAGGCGGGATATCAAATCCAAACTCCTCCTCCTCTTCCATCACTAGGGATTGGGGTAGGAATTCAATTCAGTTCACATTTAAAGGCAAACTTGAAACAGTGCAAGAACCCAAACACAGCCATCCTCTTTCCAGTGCCTGTCTCACATGGTCCTGGCTACCATCCAGCCCAGAATGACAGAGGTGCTTACTCGAGAGTAGCATCAGGAAAGGTGAGGGAAGCTACGCTAGAAGCCAGGAACAGTGGGCCAGGCAGAAGAAGTTCAAGATCAGGATGAGGAGTTCAGAACTGCAAGGAAACAACAGAGGCCATGTTCACACCATTCATTCATTCAAAGCGCTGTGATACCATGCTAAACACTCATGGCATCCTCCAAAGAGTTCTGGGAGCTTGTAAAGGTGCCAAGAATTGTTCAGACTCATCCACTCAGCCCCGACTGGGCTAGGCGAGCTGGGTAGCACTTCCAGAGACCACAGGAACAGGTCAAAGTGCCGTGGACTCACAGCTTAGAGTTATGAGCACCGGATTCACTTCCACAAGAAGACAGTCGTCACACAGCAGAGTCTAGCAGAGTATATAAACAACTCGGAGAGCAGCTCTGTAGAATATCTTCTTTATTCTATAACTACAACTATAATACAACTATATACAGAGCTAAGTAGGTCTAAGCATAAATGAATGCTGAACCGCACTGAGTGTCTGCAGCTGCTCTTAGCAGCAACCTTATCTAAACACACAATCTCTCTCTAACACTCTCTCTCTCCGACACACTGACTGACTGACTCTTTGATGTGGTGCTGGAGCAGAATAAGTAGAGAGCAGAACACGCCTCCTCCTCTCTGGAGAATCAGCAGAGAACCTCAGGAGATTCTTGGATATGGGAGGGGTGAAATCTCCTCACAGAGACCCCCTATTCTCCTTCCAGAGCTACAATTCCCAGAGTTCCCTGTGTAGATGGATTGATTGTTAAACTGGGAATCGTAGCTTTGCTGAGAGAATGGCAACCCAGTTCAACCCCCCCCCCAAAAAAAAAAATGCTCACCAATCACGCTCATAAATGTTGAGCCAATTTTGGTGAGGAGCCAAGGATTTCCTCATCTCTAGTTTTTGCTAGACTGGTGACTGGGGGCAGCTGCCGGGACCACATAACACCGGTCCTGAGAGATCTGCAATCTGCATTGGCTCCCAGTACATTTCCGAGCACAATTCAAAGTGTTGGTGCTGACCTTTAAAGCCCTAAACGGCTTCAGCCTGGTATACCCGGCTTCGGCCTGGTCTACCCCATCATTCAGCCCGGACACTGAGGTCCAGTGCCGAGGGCCTTCTGGCGCTTGCCTCAATGCGAGAAGTGAGGTTACAGGGAACCAGACAGAGGGCCTTCTCAGTAGTGGCGCCCACCCTGTGGAACACCCTCCCTTCAGGTATGAAGGAAATAAGCAGCTATCCTATCTTTAAAAGACATCTGAAGACATCTCTGTTTAGGGAAGTTTTTAATATTTAATGCTGTACTGTTTTTAACATTTGATTGGGAGCCGCCCAGAGTGGCTGGGGAAACTCAGCTAGATGGGCGGGGTATAAATAATAAATTATTATTATTATTATTATTATTATTATTATTATTATTATTATTTGCTGCATTCAGTCCAAACTGTTTACATATCCTAATAAATTCTCCAAGATTCTCCCCACACACACACCCATATTGTTTGGGTGCTTTCAGACTGATATTTTATTGCAGTGTATACTGTAACATGTCCCTGGCACAATAATAGTGTGCTAGTGGTGGTTTTATTCTGCTTTAACTTGTTTGCGATGCCGCCCTGATGCTATCGCATCATTGCACCCAGAGGGGTTGCAGTGCAACAAAAAATAAACCAGAACCTTTATGGTATGAAAAGTTAATGGGTTTTCGGCAGGATGTTGTGGGATGCGCCCTGACTGGAAGTGAAACTGTGTGAGTTCCCTGAAACGGTTGCAGCAGCAAACAGTATCGGCATGGCGTGTGACTGCTCTGATAGCATCCTGAACACCAATGACTGTGAAATAGAAAGGATGTCTAGGGGGATGCTTTTTCATTTCCTCAAGATGCCTTGTCGTTTTTGGCAACGGCTCCCAACAGCCCACCTGCCAAATTGGACTTATCTGCCCCCTAATGCTGCAGAGGAGGAGATGGTGTTTGATAATGATATATTTAAGAAGGGAGCGACGGCAGGCAGCAGAATTCTGGGTGATTGTCACACAGTTGGTAATAGCATCATTAGACACGACTCAGCCGGCATTAACTATGTTTGCCTGTTCAGGCAGATAAAGATGTCTTTTGCTGTCTTCTCGTTTTGTTCATAAACAGCCTGTGCGCAGTTATTTTCTTGCAGATCTATATTTATTGTATAGCAGTAATTACGAGGAGATACGTTTGGAGGAAATTTTCATGCCAGGACCTGTTGCAGCGACTGGAGCCTCTGTCCTCCGCACCTGGTGGTCAGTGCTGAAGAAAAGGAGCTCATCATAAAACTCCAATAGCAGGCATTGCAGGTTCACAAATGGCATCTCTGTGTAGTCCTTGCCAAAGATCATAGAACTATTGAGTTCTGTGGGGTATTAGGGAAGCGTTAGTACCTGTCGGCATGCAGAGGGCTGGGGGGCCAGCTGCCTAGCTCCGGTTGGGCTGTCTTCTTCCAGCTGTCCTGCTATGAAGACCATCACCTCAGCGACCCGGGCTTACTCAGCCAGGGCACTTTATCAGTAGTTTGAACTGTGCACACAGAATAGGCGTGAGGCTTGTGGAAGCATACTACAATTACAGATTTATTAATCATAAATTAGGACAAAGAAACATGTCATCTCGCTCTTTGTCTTCTCAGAGAGAAAGAAAAGCAAAAGCTATACACACAATGGAAGTTTCCAGCAAACTGTGCTGGTATGTAAACAGACATGTGACATGCATCAGTTCCATGTCTGCAACTAAAGTTGGAATGGAATTTCCCAACAGTGCCATCCCCTTGATCATGTTGTCCTCTCTTTTCTGAACTCAAGCTCTACAATATGTCCCTGAGCTTGGACAGTTACTCTTACTTTCTTGGGTGCAGAGAGCTGTGTGTGCTGAAACTTCAGGATATTGTGCCTTGCCTAGAAAGAGCAGGACAAGTGAGAAACAGCACAGACCCATGCTTTCTAGGCACAAGAAAAGCACAAGTCTGCACAAGCCCCTAACCTTTCTCTAAATGCTACAACCTTTCCTCATGGGTGAGTTGCAGGCCCTCCAATTGTCCCTATTTTCCTGGGACAGTCCCGGATTTACAGAAGCAACGCCGATTTCTGATTTGATCCCAGAATGTCCCGCTTTTCCTGAGAATGTCCCAATTTTCACCAGAGAAATGCTGGAGAGTATGGAGTTATGTGAGCCCCAAGCCAAGGAGATAAGTAACTATACAACCTTTAGAAGACATCTGAAGACAGACCAGTATAGTGAAGTTTGTTAAAAAATATATTCAGTGGTTTATTATGTTTTTATATATGTTGGAAGCCGCTCAGAGTGGCTGGGGCAACCCAGTCAGATGGGCAGGGTATAAATGAAAAAAAATATTATTATTATGGAATAGGACACCCGTATTTTCATGGGAGAACAGTTGGAGGGTATGGAGTTGTTCCATCCCCTTCAACAGGTTGCTGGATTAGGTGATCCTCAGTCAAGCCCTCCATCTCTTCTTAATTCTTCTCCCTTTTCTTTGCGTCTTTCTTCTCCCAATTAGCAAAAGGGACTGCAAATTGCTAAGCTGTCAGCACGCCCATTATTCCCCGAATGTAAACATTAATTTCTAATCGGGGAAACCACTGAGAAACGTACAGCACCAGCAACTTCTTTTTGTTCAGCTGTTGAGTCACCTTCGTGGAAGTCTGTAATTTGGAAGAGTGTGCCAGCCAGTAAGAACAAGCTTTGCTTTATCAGCCACGATCGCCTTCGCACACTCATTCCAAGTGCGGGTTGCAACTTCTCGGCAGGGAAGAACGCAGCTCGTCTCGACTGGAGAAAAGAAAATCTTCTAGCCAGGGAGATATAGTTATCTGTTGTGTTGATTGCATACAGCTTTATGATAATGATTTGAGGCGTCTTTGGCTGTTTCCAGGAGACAAAAGCTCATTGGCATATGGTTTTATTTCTCTGGAGGCATCCCGAGGTTCTTTGCATAATGAAAGTTCCACAGTGGAATGAATAATATATCCCCTCAGGAAAATGGCAAAGCTGTCTCCGGCACTGTAAAGACTGCTGGGATGTTACACCAGCAGTCTGTGCATTGACAGGAGTACCCTGAAAGGGCTATTTCCAGGCAGAAGATGATTTTGGGATTGGTGTTCCTCATATGTGCAAGGTTGTTGTTGTTGTTTGCAGTGTTCACAAGTCACTAAGGGCTCGTTCTGTTTCCCCTGTGCTTTCTAGACATGGGTCGGTGTCAGGAATGAGCCAGCTCCAAGCGAAGGTTTGCAGCCAACTGCAGAAAGCAGCCAGGAACAGAGAGGCTTGGATGTTAGCCAGGCAGGGGAGAGCTGGCAGCTTCAGACTCTGGCTCTTCCTGACTTTGACGGACCAGCTGATAAGGCAGTAGCTGAGAGCAGGCTAGAACACAGCCAAATCTCACAGGAAGAGGTTGAAGCTGACCCACTAAGTACGAGGAGTCGGTGAATGGGAGGGCTGCTCGATAGGAAGCAAAACAAGAGAGGTAAGGGTCGTAAGTTCAATTTCTTCTGTCAACGCCGGAAACACTCTTCAGAAGGGTCATCTTGAGTAATGATGCTGGAGGCTTTGTTAGAGCTGCCCGGAGCTATCTGTTTTTGTAATAAATCCTCCTTTTTAATTACCTGCACTCACTGTGTTATCAAGCTGGGAAACTGGACTCCTGACAGTCAGAGAAGTTTTCCATCTGCCCTGCCTCTTTCTCCAGGAAACCCCTCTGTTTACTGCTGATTCATACCCAATGTCGATTGGATTTTCTGCGGATTGACATGTGTTCTGATTCAGCTGTAAACAGCAGGTTTTCCAGGGGAAACATCAGCGCAACATGTGGGAATTTCCAGCAGCAGCAAGAGAGCAGCAGTAGCCGGCTCAAGTGCAAAGCAGGGAAAACCTTTGTTAGCAACTTCCTGTTTGCTTTGTTATTGCTCCCCCCTAAACACTGGACCTTCCTGGAGGACACTGGAGTCACCCACCATGGATTTACAACAGCTCTCCTTGACATCAGACTTCTGGGTGCAGTGGGGAGCTTAAAGGGGGGAAATTGTTGGTTTGATTTGAAATGTTTTTGGGACTGTGGGGGAGTTGAAGTTCTCTTTAATTTTGTTTATATGCTAATTAGTGGTTCTGAGTATTGCTTTGTTTATTATTTGGGTATGGTGTGTGTGTGTGTGTGTGTGTGTGTGTGTGTGTGTTATGCTCAATGGTGTAACGCTGGAAAATGTTGATCACTTCTCCTACCTAGGCAGTTATCTTTCCACAAGGGCCGACACTGATGCTGAAATCCAGCATCGCCTGAGTTCTGCGAGCGCAGCTTTCTCATGATTGAATCACAGAGTGTTTGAGGACCGGGGCATTCGCAGGGAAACCAAAATGCTTGTTTACAAAGCTTTTGTACTACCAACCTTACTGTATGCTTGTGAAACAAGGACCACTTACAAACACCATCTCCAACTTTTTGAAAGATTCCATCAACAGTGTCCCCAAAAAAATCTTACACATCACTTGGGAAAACAGGCGAACTAATGTCAGTGTACTAGAAGAAGCAAAGATCACCAGCAATGATTATTCAACATCAACTTTGGTGGTCTGGTCATGTTGTGTGGATGCCTGATGATTGACTTCCAAAGCAACTACTCTATTCCGAACTTAAAAATGGAAAGTGTAATGCTGGTGGTCAACAAAAGAGGTTTAAAGACTCTCTCAAGGCAAATTTAAAAAAAAAATGCAGTATAAACACCAACACTGTATAAACACCAACAATTGGGAAGCACTGGCCTGCGAGCACTCTAGTTGGAGAACAGCCTTTACTAAAGGTGTCATGGGCTTTGAAGACACTCGAACTCAGAACGCAAGGGAGAAATGTGCTAAGAGGGAGGCACGCTTGGCAAATCCACACTGTGATCAACTCCCACCTGGGAACCAATGTCCCCACTGTGGAAGGATGTGTGGGTCCAGAACTGGCCTCCACAGTCACTTATGGACTCCCTGTTAAGACTGTGTTTATGGAAGACAATCTTACTTGGCTATGAGTGATTGCCAAAGAGGAATGTTATGTTATGTTATGATGTGTTGTGTTGTGTTGTGTTGTGTTGTGTTGTGTTGTGATGTTTTATGTTTATGTTATGTTGTTATGTTGTACGAAATAGCATTATATTATTCCCCCCACTTACTCCATTATGGTAATATGTACTATATAACTTTTTCTTTTCTGTAAGTTGCTTGGAGACCTTCGGGTGACAAGTGACTAATAAACCTAAGAAATGAATGAAATAAAAATGAAATGTTGGACTAGATGGGCTACTGGTTTCATTCAGCAGTCATAAGAACTCTATGTTCTCATGACATTGCGGGCATCAAAAATTCAGTCTGTAAACACACACACATTAATTCCAGACTTACCCTTTCCAGGGGGAATCTATTAAGCTTTTTTGTTTTTGTAACACAACCTGTTGCCACCCATGTATAATACCCCGTTTGTGTGGTGCAGTGGGTCCATGCATCTGGTCAGTAACCAGAAGATAAGTTGCTTGAGCCCACCCAGCAATGGCTGTGGGCAGGATTCCTGCACTGCATGGGGGTAAGGCTAGATGGCCCTTGGGATCCCTCCCAAATCTACAATTCAATTATTCTATTATTATTATTATTATTATTATTATTATTATTATTATTATTATTATTCCCCATTGGTTTTAATGTATTGTCAGAGCTGCTCCCCGATCCTAGCTCACAGAGGATCACGCTAGCCAGCGTTCGCTTTATAAAAGTCTTTATTGAGTTACAGTTTCCATTTCCAAGCTGCTGCGTGCAGCTCTACGTCTTATGGCTAGACCGGCGAAGCTCCGTCTGAGTCTCCGCCCCTCGTACACCAACTTAATATCCTCGCCTTACTCCACCTTTTCCGCCTGACCGTCCTTCTCTGGGTCCCTCTGCCCCCCGTGGTCTCCTCCTTCCTGGACTCCTCTGACGCTGACCCCCGGACCCCCCTGTCTCCTTGCGTCGGGCTTTAGGACCTGGCTCCCTTTCCGGGCTGCTTACTGCGCCGCCTTCCTGTGCATTTGAACTTGGCGCGCGCGCCCAACCTTCCACTTTCCGCTTGACCGTTTCTTCGCTCCCCGATGGGGGTGTGGTCACTCCTGACTCATGCCCTCCCCCTGCTGCGAGCTGCCAGGGCTCGATCCCTGACGTCCTTCCTCTCCACTGCGCTCTGGTGGGGACGCTGGCCCCGATTTCCAACTGCTGCCCTCTGAACCCCCGCTGGTCCCTTCCTCCTGGGGTGTCCCCCTAGGCCCCCCCTTTGCTCTGGCCACTGGCGCTCCTTTCTGTGAATCTTCTGATTCACTGGAAAGACTCGGAGATCTC